GTCGAAAATTTACTCAATAAACTTACTCATTTTCCAAAGGATGCCTTTCCATAAAAATTACATTTCTTGGGATGCCTGCCTTTCAGTTTATACGACATGATCAATAAACCCATTCCTTCGTACGCCCCCTCCCTTCCCCGTATGACTGACTGGTGCTCTGTCCTTTGCTTCCCTTTTTTAGTCACGCTTGACAAGCTTTCACTGTAACATGAACCGTCTTGCTTCGACAATTGCCTTTCCCCTCCTCTTCGTCCTCACCATGAAGAAGATAGATATTGCACATGTTGTAATGGATCCGGCAAAGCAAAAGGAGACCGGAATGGCCAAGTTTGGCTTGTTAGCCGTCATCAACCAGTCATAATAATCAATGAGTGCATTAAAAATCGGTGTTAATAAGTCACACTACTAAAGTAGTCATTGTTAGAGAATGCAGTTTTTGCAACGGGTAGAAAGACGTGCATTCAATAGCCGGCCTCCTCGCGTGACTGAAATATCTTTGGTATTATGCTGTATCAAAATTATTATTATTACAGCTGCGTTTAAGCGATTTAATCTAATAAAAAAACACATTTCCGAATTTCGGTCAACATTACATGAGACAACAGGTCTTCTATGCGTCTTACGCGCGAACTAGTTCTGTCTTTTGGAAAGGAAGTGCACTTTTCCCTGTCTGACTCCCTTAAGCTTTTTGAGCGGACAAAAAGCGCGGAGGAGAAGGCTGCTAAAAGCCAAGAAGAACTCGAGACCACAGCTGGGAATCTCAAATGCGCAAAAGACCTCCTGATGAAGCTTAACACCGTACGTCATACCACACACCTATTTCCTGTGATTTACACAAGATGTGATCAGTTCTGTGAGTATGCTCTTTATCTTTTTAATTCTCGTACTCATAGTGAAAACTCGTCTCAAGTCCTTGCAGGTTTCCAACCCACGCTTTCTCGCGACTAAAGCCCGTCACATTGGTCGTTCATTTACATAGGCATTTCACCGATGATAGATCAACCCCTTTCCCTCTGTAGATATATTGTCCTCGGAGAGGCATTATCGAGAAAAGACAAGCGGTGCTGGAATGGCCATTTCTGGCTTATTAGTTGTCGTCAGCCAGACATGTCCAAACCCCATGTGGTGCATCACTCAAGCTTCTAACACTTGGTCTGTTGGTTAGGAATCCACTACTCTCATCCACTGTGCCATGAGCACATTGTCTTTTCTGTTTCGATAACTTGCCATCAACTAACCCGAAAACCCTAATGCATCCAAACTAAGAGACATTATACAGTGTGCTGCCAAAGCCTCTTGCAAGGGGCTAAGGGTAGAGGGGCGTGATTAAATGTCAAACGAACACACTAAATCGGGCTAAACCATAGCCCGTTTTGGACTTATCTGCCGTTAGTCTGTTACACCACAAACGGCAAAGATTTAAGAGTTAAACAAGCCTGTGCTGGTTTTAGATTGGAACTCAGGGGTTACCTGTAAAGGCTATGCTCTTTCCTGCAATCACGAAAGGTGGGTTTACGCTACCAATAGGTGGTTAAACGTTCCCAATAGCAACTGGTAAGTCCTAAGCCTGTGCCTCATACCTGACGGGACTCGGGTTCATATCTTATCTCTTGCCGGAATGTTGTTGGGCTTTGCCTGCTTGATGGTGACAATTACACCGAAAATGCTTAATACGGCCTGCCTTGTCCTTATCGGCGATAGTTCTGATGTATACGTTGTGGGTCACGCAGAGCCTCCAAAAGAAAATGCGCGTATTTATTAGGTGTCACTAAATAAACTACATCGAAAGCATGTCAAACTGCGGGTTAGTTGACATTACGAGTTGTATCTGCAACGTTGGCAACAAGCTATATCAAAATTGCATCACCCTCTCAATCAAACAATCCGCATTGTTTCCGTATTTTGTGAGTGTCATTTTAAACCTTCCTGATCTCTTCTTTCCACAGCACCTCAAAGAAGTGAAGTTAGCGTTACAGCAAGAGAAGAAGAAGTTTGGCGTCTCGACACTAATTCATAAGGTCGGTTACCTCTAGTGCTTCTTTCTTTTGAGATTTCCTTTGCCATGCTATTTGTGTTGCCAGATAAATGCTTTTATTTGTGTAACGTGTTTGAACTTATTTTTTTAAACAACCTGATATAACGTCATGTGATATTATGATATTATGGCGATTTGATATCCGCTATGTGTCCCACAGCAGGATGGACACAAGGATGGGGGCGTGCGGCGCGTGAATTCGTTTACAGTTAAGTAGGCTTGAACATGATAAAGTTAAGTGATTAGAACTGACGAGTCACGGTTTAGCTTGAGACAGATGAGTCAGAGTTTCGTTCTCACCCCGTGGGAAGTCGAAGATGAAATTTTCTAGATGATGAAGATTAACGGTACGCGTGGGAAACACGATGGACAAACGTTAAAGCGAGTCCGTGATTCTACCCACAAACGTCATTTGTGAAGC